GCCAGCCCCCAAATTCCTGGGAAATCTGAAAATCTACCTATGAACCACTAATTAATTCCTTAATAAACAGATAAAGAGATAGGATATTTGAAGAAACCTATAATTTAAGAGACTTCCAGTGCTACCTACAGATCAGAGAATGAAGAGTGTATCAGACGAAGGATCCAGAGATTGACTAGACCACTGGAAACCATCCTGAGTTCACCAGACTATTATTCCTGCATGCCTTTCTGTACCCACCCCTCACCAAGTTTCCTTTAAAAGAAGAGCTGAGAACCCTGAAAACTCCTCTCTCATTCTTGAGATGACCTGCATACTCCCTTGAATGTATATCTGCTTTTGTAAATAAGCTTCTGACTGTTGTGTGTGCTGAAATTCTCCTCCTTTGCAGAGGCCAAGAACGCCCCAGTCCTAAGGTGAGTTCCCCTTCTCTCCAGGAACGCCTCAAACCCTTCCTTGAAGACATCTCCCCGCCATGACTAAACCAAAGGATCATTATTTTGTTTCAGGAGCTAGGTCTCTGTGAATGCCACCTCTCAGGCACATTTTGCCCTGCTTGGATAACCTGATTCCTTATCTTGGCCTCTCTCATTCCCTCTGGTCCCTTGATGTCACCTCTGGTATTTTTTTTTTTTATAATTGGTTCTTTTTTTAATTAATTAATTTTTGAGAGAGAGAGAGAGAGAGAGAGAAAGAGAATTTTTTTTTAATATTTATTTTTCAGTTTTTCGGTAGACACAACATCTTTGTATGTGGTGCAGAGGATCGAACCCAGGTGAGCATGAATGCCAGGCGAGCACACTACCGCTTGAGCCACATCCCCAGCCCTCACCTCTGGTATTTTGTGGAGACTCAGCCTTTGGTGTTGGAGGCCCTGTCTCTGGCAGGGGCCATAATTATGCAGGGCACTGTAGGAAGGAGTTTGTAACTTGTTATAAGGGTGTATTTAGAAGAATATTCCACAGACAGTGAAAGAAAATTCTACAGTATGGAGCAGTGTTGATGGGGGTGGACGGTGGCGAGCGATTGGTGTTATGTGACAGTACCTCTGACAGGGGACCCAACTCATCTGCTCCTGGTAGCCTGGCCACCTCATCCTTCTGTGAGACACCAAACCAGCACAATGGCAAAGGACAGCCAAGTGTGAGCAGATCATTAATCAGTTTTATATGAAGCCACGTGTGCAGAGTTCTGTGGATAACAGACTGCAGTATGTGGGGTCAACCAGCCAACAGGGATATTTGCATTCATTCTTCCTCCTAAGACCTAGAAAATATTTGTAGCCTTCCTTTGTTTGAAGTGTGGATGCCTGCGAGCTCCTTACAGTCCGGGTCTGACTTCAGTACCTTCCTCATGTCTTTCTGCCTCCGTCCTGTGTCTGCACTGTGTTCTTGATGGGTATTTCCCAGGGCAGTGACAGGCAGCTGAGAGAAGGGGCTCCAGCAATTCCCTTGTAGATCTGTGAACCTCTCAGAATTGAGAACAGTCTCTTGATCATCTTTGAACTCTGCTTCCAACCTGAGGCCGGGGCTCAGCAACTGTCTGGTTATAGAATGAATGGCAATTCTAGTTGGATCTCTGGTCCCTCCTCCTGTTCCCTGTGGCCCAACATCCGCAGGAATCAGCCTGGTTGCTGCCCCTGCAGTTCCACCATGAGAACCCCTCCGCAGACACATCCAACGTGACTGCTGGGTCAGGTGCACCTGTGCTGGGGAAGTCAGCACGGAGTGACTGAAGGGAAGCGTCTTTTCTTCCTTATCCTGTCTATAAGTGCTTAATAGTACAAATAATTCAGGGATGTGTGTTCACTACAGCTCAGGGCAACAGGAAACCTATTCCTGAGGGCAACTGATCTTTGTGGTCACTGGGATGTGCTGCTCCGCACCTGGGCCCCTTTACCTCTCACTGGTGGTGTATACCTGCCCCTGGTCTCCAGAGGGCCCTCTACAGTGATGATTATCCTCATTTTAGCAGCTTAGGGTATGATCCATAACAAAGAAGAAAAGCACAAAGCTGATGTAGAACATGCTACTATTAAGAGTCTGTGTTTTTTAGTATTATTGTCTTTTAAAAGAAATTTTTTTTKGGGGGGGGGGGTACCAGGGATTGAATGCAGGGACACTTAACCACTGAGCCACATATCCAGCCTCTTTTTATATTTAATTTAGAGACATGGTCTCGCTGAGTTGCTGAGGGCCTTGCTAAACTGCTGAGGCTGGCTTTGAACTCACAGTCTTCCTCCTTCAGCCTCCCGAGTCCCTGGGATTACAGGCTTGTTCCACTGCACCCGGCAATTATCTCTTAAATATAGAGTGATGTGTAGTGTTTATATTTTCACATTTGAAAATAATATTTGACTGCCTATGTTGGAGATACGATGGTAAGGAAGATCAAACATCCTTCTCTGATAGTGCCACGAAGAAAACAGGATAGTGGAACAGGAGCAGAGGAAGATGGAAGCCGTGCTCTAGGTAGAGAGGGGCTTGGTGAGAAGGCGACATTTGAACTGAGAGCTGCGTGATCATTTGTGTGGAAATTAGTCTAGATAGAGGAAACAGCAAAGGAAAAGGAACCCTTGGGACAGACCAGAATTGGGCATGTTCTCAGGACAAAGAGAAGGCCAGAAGTGTGAACAGAACATATGGAATACCAGGAGGAGGACATGCAGTTCTCACCTTGACTGTGCTGCAGAATTATCTGAGGGACTTAAAAAAAAAAATTCCAGTGTCCAAGCCCCACCTGAAGAGGTTTGTGACTTAATTGATCTGGGGTGGGACCTGGACATTGGCATTTTATAAAAGTTTCCTAGGGAATGCAGCTTGGATAGGCCACGAGTCTTGATCTTGCAGAGTGTTACAGGCTCTGATAAGAACTTGGACTTGAGTTGAATGACAGTGTGAAGTTATTGGACAATTTGAACTAGGAAATGAACATAATCTGATTTATGTCTTTAAGAGGCTCACTTTGGCTCTTGTGTGGGCAGTGGAGGTCGGGAGTTATTATCATGGCCCCCTTGAGAAATGATGGTGACTTGAAGCAGGGTGGATTCAGTGGAGATGGTAGGAGGAAGTCAATATTTGGATTGGAGGCTGTGGTCAAAAAAATGGATTGGATTTAGAATGTGAGGCAAAAAGATCTCAAGGGTGCCTCAGAATTGACCCGATAACCTGGTGGGTGGTACTGCCATTCACAGAGATGGGAGAGGTCAGGGTGGAACAAGTTTGAGAAATTGCCATGCCTTGTTTGGAGTGAAAACTTCACTGGTGTTCTGTCTAGAGTTAACTTATAACCAAATGAGGCTGGCTAAACTATCCTGAGAAATCCTGTTCCTTTCGTGCTGAGAGTTTTCTTGAAGTCTTCCAAAGGTAAGCACCAAAAGCCAGTTGACCACTTTAGTGCATAGGACCTGTGACGAGCAGGGAAAGCTTCTTTCATACCAGTATCAGGTGGGATGTACTTTGAGAGATTGCATGCAGTCAACACCTGTTTTGCTATAATAATTGAGTAGTGTGGTCATTTATAGAATCAGAAATAACAGGTTAAAACATTTATGTTTGACTTAAAGGGAATTTTCCCCCCAACAAAGTTATTTTCCAAGATAAGTAGCTTATGTTATAAATTTTCCTTCCCTGAGCAGGCCCTGGATATCTGGCAGTAAAAGTAATTGAGATTGGTAAATCAAGATTAGATTATTGGAAACTGGATTTGGTGATGCACACCTGTAATCCCAGCTACTTGGGAGACTGAGGCAGGAGAACTGCAAATTTGAGGCCAGCCTGGGCAACTTAGCAAATCACAAATCCCTATCTTTTTTTTTTTTTTTTTTTAAGAGAGAGTGAGAGAGGAGGGAGAGAGAGAGAGAAAATTTTTAATATTTATTTTTTAGTTCTCGGCGGACACAACATCTTTGTTGGTATGTGGTGCTGAGGATCGAACCCGGGCCGCACGCATGCCAGGCGATCGCGCTACCGCTGAGCCACATCTCCAGCCCACAAATCCCTATCTTAAAATAAAAATTAAAAAGGGATGCAACTCAGTGGTAGAGCGTACCCTTGTGCCATAAAATCTCCAGGGTCACTAAATCAAAAATTAAATAATCAGAACTCTAATTCCAAACTCCAGACTGTAGACCTCAGAAATGAAATATTCATATTTTCCTAATTATGCTGATGGAGCCCTGGTACAGTGAGAACAACATGGAATTTTGTAAGAAGTTTGTCATTTTTTTCCCCCTGGTGAAAGTACCTGGATTAAGTTGTAAAGATGAAGTCTACGGATTGGTGTATGGGGTGGGGGAGCCCAGATTTGAAGTTCACTGGGGGCAAGAACTTTCCCTCAACTTTTTTTTTTTTTTTTTAAGTACTGGGAATTAAACCCACAAGCATTTTACCACTGAACTATATTCCCAGTTTGTTTTTTTTTTTTTTAATTTTGAGATAGGCCCTCACCAAAGCTGAGAGTCTTTATTAAGTTGCCCACACTGATCTCCAACTCGATATCCTCCTGCCTCAGCCTCCCAAATTGCTGGGATTATAGGCATGTGCTAGTATCTGTGCACCTGGATCAGTATCTGTTTTTCAAAAATGCCTACTACATTGCTCATTCTGAGGCTTTGAACTGTTTGTTTAGTAAAGTTAGGAAATGTTTGTAGCTGAAACTCTGGAGTCAGCGCTGGCTGAACAGGAATGTTGACCAGAAGGCTTTTGAAATGCCAACAGCCCCTTTGGGAGGCACTTCTGTGTTCTTAGTAAAGAAACTCTGGATGTGGCTGCCTTTGAGTGAAAGGCAGAAGAATTCTGGATGGTGTAGCTGTTTAGAAAATGGGTAGGACCTGAGACTCCTTTCTAAAGAGCTTCAAGTTGGCTCTAAGCCTCCGAGGCAGCCCTGAGGGGAGGCTGGTCCTGTTGAACTTTGAAATGTTGAGCTCCTTTGCTGTCCCACAGAGCGCCTGTGTTGCCAGTCTGCCTGCTCCATACCATGTCTGTCCTTGTTACCCACAGATAACTGCAGTGACCTGAACTCAGAACTGCAGAGGGTGCTGACGGGGCTGGAGAGCGTTGTCTGCGGCAGGAAGAAGAGCAGCTGCAGCCTCTCGGTGGCTGAGGTGGACAGGCACATCGAGCAGCTCACCACCGCCAGCGAGCACTGCGACTTGGCTATTAAGGTGGGCCTCCCTCAACCCACTGCCGGGCGGTCTCAGATTATGTGAGGGGAGTGGTCAGAACCCACTCTGGAGGCATGTTTGTCTCAAATACCTGTTAGGGATGTTTCAGTGACAGCCATGCTAGAGATTGGGCCACCAGGTAGAAGCAGGGGCCCCACAAATCTTTGCTTGGCTGAATGACTTTGGAAAAAAAGCCATTATATTGACAGTCAGGATCTCTGGCTTTTCTATAAAAGAGATGGTGTGCTTAGAAATGATTAGATTACTAGCACCCAGCCACATCATTTTAGCACGGTTCATGGCAGAGCACTTGTCAGTGTACCAGGGAAGTTTTATTGGAGCTTTAAGACTTCAAGAACACGATTTCATGAGTTAACAATTTGTGTTGCTGACAAAGGGGAAGGTTCAGCACCTGACTGAGTCATCCCATCCCCTGTACAATGCAGCTGGGTCTCAGCCACACCTCTGACATGTTTTCATCTTCCTGCTGAAGAAGGAGCAGGTGAGGGGAATCTGCTGCATCTGCACAAACTCATCCTGAACAATGGGAAAGACAAGTCCAGCTGATCCTGGGCCTCAAGTGTCTTTATGTTACTTCACTATAGCTTAGTGACCTAGGCCTAGCAATTCAGATTTAGAAGTCTGGGAGGATCTTATGCAAAGGAACAATCTAGGCCCAAGTTTCTGTCAACAGGAACCCTGGATTTTTCCCCCAAAGAACTGTGCTGTCTCAAGGTACAGCATGGTGTCTGTTTATAACACAGCTGGCTTTCTCTCTCTTTCATCTCATTTGGAAATATATAGGTGAGGTGGGGTTGGGGATGAGGAGAAGCTATCACTGGTGTTTCTTGCTCTGGAGTCTCCCAGGCTCCACATTAGATGGCAATGTCATCTTGGGTACTAGCTCCAGCCTCCACGTTGAGAGGAAAAGAGGAGGCCAGGGACTTCTACCAACTAGCAAGGGACATAGTATGGCCTGGAGCATAGCCAACTAGGATAAGAGTCTTGGATTTGAAAGGAGAAACAAAGCAGATCATGAGGAAAGTGGCAGCAAGATTTGGGTACCTGTGTTCCTCAGAGACCCAGTGTGAGCCTCTGAGGGCGGCTCCTAGGCGTTTTAGTATTTGAAACCTGTTTCTCATCATGTCTCTTCTTGGCCTTTTGCAACTGCCCAGTAATTCTTCCTTCTGTTTAGAAATCAACTGGCCTCTGCTTCTTTCACAAAGGACAATATATGTGAATGAATAGTTTCTGAGAGCAAGCAGAATAAATTCTTTTTTTTCTTTTCTAATTTTATATATCTTTCTTCTGCACTAATGCTGTTGTAAATGAATTTTTAATAACCCTTCAAATACGATAAGAGATTCTCTCTTTTTTTCTTTCTTTTTATTTTTTAATATTTTTTAGTTCTTAGCTACCTTATTAATTAAATCCCCGCTGTCTGAGAAACCTCCACAATGAGCTTCCTCTTTTCTGTGTCACTGAGGTTTATTTTTGACTTTCACATCTTGGGACTGAACCTCATTTGCACCATCTGAATTCTTACGTGGCACTGAAAGTGGGGAAGGTTGAGGTGACCTGTTTTATTGCTGAGCTGGCACACAGGAAGCCTGTAATTTAGGAAACTTCCAATTAGATTTTGCATGCAGTTTGCCACCTCACATTTGTCACCGCATCCCCCGGATCAGTAATTGTCCTGCTTCCTGGTTGCACATTTGCCAACTCTGGAACTCAAGTGAAGGAGATCAATGGTTGCATGTTGGTGGCGGTTAGCACCAGGCTGACTTAAACATCAGAAAGGGACAGTGTTTTCCTTAACCCTGGGGATAGCGGAGTAACCCAGATCATGACCCAGGCAAGGAGACAGCCTCCTCTGAAAYTGGGGAGAGGACCATGGGGGAGGTGTGTCTCTGATCACCATCCCCGTGTTCAATGAAGTGGCTCTAAGCCCCCTTCTTTGGGTTCAGTGGCTCATGTACAGCCTGTGTTCTTCCCATCCCGTTTCTCCAAGATACCGAACATGACTTTTCTTTGTGGCCATGTTTTGCAGACAGTTGAAGAGATTGAAGGGGTGCTTGGCCGGGACCTGTACCCCAACCTGGCTGAAGAGCGGTCCCGATGGGAGAAGGAGCTGGCTGGGCTGAGGGAAGAGAACGAGAGCCTAACTGCTATGCTGTGCAGCAAAGAGGAGGAGCTGAACCGGACCAAGGCCACCATGAACGCCATCCGGGAAGAGCGCGACCGGCTCCGGAGGAGGGTGAGCACCACAGCCAGCTCAGTGTGGCCTGTCCCACCCATGGGGCTGAGAGGAGTGGGCATATACAGCCAAGGGCAGCCCCAAAATTTCATGGATTCTCAGTCTTTGGAATCACCAGCCTTTCCTGGTTATGAAGTCATTCTAGAAAGTCGTTTTAAGATGCTAAGATATAGAGATAAGATTTTTTTAAAACACCTTTTTCTGGAATCCTAAATCTAAGTAGATGATAAAATTAGAGCAGTTTTCCTCAAACTACTCTCCTGGGTATGCACAACTTCTCTAAGCTCTATTAAAAGGTGCTTCTTTTAAGATAGTCTAGGAGGTAGGGCTATGGCTCAGTGGTGCAGTGCTTGTCTGGCACAGGTAAGGCTCTGGGTTCAATCCTCAGCACCACATAAAAATAAATAAATAAAATAAAGGTATTGTGTCCATTTACAACTAAAAAAATTTTTTAAAAGATAGTCTAACAATATTTTTATAATTTGAAAAAATATAGAATTTTCCCCTTTCAATTTTTTCTACAAAATTTTCTTTAACTTCTTAATATCTGTTGTCACTTATGGCTAAATCTAATGTGAAATGTCCCATATTCTAGCATAAACTTATTAAAGTTAAAATAACCATGTAGGTATGTGTGTGTATGTATCTGTACATGTGTGTCTGTATGTGTATTTGTGTATGCATATCTGTGGGTGTGTATACACATGAGAGTGTGTGTGTGTATTTGTGGGAGAGGGAGAGAGAAATTGATTAATTGATTTCTGTATTCACCTAAGGGCCTGCCTGCTCTAGTTTGAGAACTACTTTGCTAAAGACATATATCCCTTGATGAAGGTACTGATGTTTCAGCAGAGAAATGTTTTAGCATAGAATTGTTAAAGCATTCAGTTTTCTAAAGATGCCATTTTTACCCCGCAGGGACCCATAAGTACGTCTTTGCTTGGCTGTGAATTTTATCTGTGATTGGACTGGGGGTGAAGCAATGGATTCTTCAGTCAGAAACAATTCCCTCCGAATTTCACTTTGAATTACTAGACCTACTTTACTCTCTTTCTCAATCTAAGCAATATTAGGCTGTTACTTTCGAGTCATGCTCTGAATGGTAATTTTGCACATGAAGTAGAATGATAGGGGGAAAATAAATCTAGTTGGTTTCATCAACCTTCACCATTACTGTTTCTCTCTAACCTTTGGAGACACCTTGGAAGTAACTTGTTCTTCAATAGGTCAGGCATGTAAATGGTTTTGTTCTTAATCCACATGCAGATATTCTTGTTGTTTGAATATAGAAGAGACTAACTATTGTTGAATATTACCAACACCATTCCTCTCCTCATTTATGCCTAATGTCATGATTAAAGAGCCAGCACTCCTACCTCTTATATCTGAACATCATTTATCTTAACTCTTGTGCATTAAGCGAATTTTCAGTACCCAGCTTTACCAAATGCCATTCTCCAAACTTGTATCAGCAGGTGTGAATCATCCTAGTCAGCAAAGGCTTTATCTGGGGAACTCGATGAAATTTACTTAGCACTAAGGCCTACGCCACCTGTAATTTCCTGGGTTACCCCCTCTGATCTTTATGACTAATATCCTAATTAGGGTATGTGCTTGCTTTTAGTGTGTGTATTCTGTTGGTGCATGTTTTGTGAAGGAAATGTTGGTCTTAGATATAATTACATATTGTGGTTTACAATAAATTTCCTTCTCTAACTTGGGTTACTAAGATGCAGAATAGCTTTTGATTGTAGCCAAAAAAAAAAAAAAAAAAAAGGCGCCAATATCCACCCCTCCAATGTTTTCTTCAACTTTGGAGGTCAGCATTAAGAACAGAACAGTGTGGAGGAATTTACATTGTGTACCAGAGCTTTGGAGCCACACTGCATGGGGTCATAGCCTGACCTGCAAAGTCCCTATGAGTCTAGCAAATTGCCTAACTTCCTTGGGCTTCAGTTTACTTTGCCATGAAGTGGGAATAGTAATAATACCCAATGCAGGAAAATTATCTAATACTGATAAAATAGTTACACGGTGCCTGGCATATAGTAAATACTCAAAAAATTAGAATTAGTGGTAGTTATTTGGGCTAGAATCCACATTTATATGTTGAATGGTGTGGAAAGTTTAGTTTCATGCCATCTTTTTGTTTATTTATTTTTAATAAGAATCTTTAGATGTTTGAAAAATTCTAACATGAACATTGAATATATTGTAAGTATATAGATGTGCACATGCACACATGTTTCTTCACAAAATGTTTCTTCTGATTATGTTTACTTAAGTTTGTGCCATTAATGTGGTTTTACATAAATTTACATAATTTGTAGTTCATTTACCTCCCAGTAATAAAACTTTAAGGAACTTGTGTCTTCAACTAGTACTGTCTTGTGGGATATGTATACTTACCCATGAATTAGACTTATTTCTAGGCAATTGAGGTTCTCAAAAGAATTTTCTAGATGTCTTTCAATGCTGGTTTACTAGACTTTAAGTCCTGGAAGACTTCACCCACCCAGTATATTTCATTTCCCTGAGGGATCTACCTTTTGTGATTAGCATTATCTTTTGTTTGTCATGATGTGTAGGTTTGCAGAGTAACTGAGCTACAATTCCATTTTCATCTCTGTGATTTTACATAGTTCATGGCTAGTTTGCCTTTGCGCTTTGTAGCAGCTCTGAGTCCATAGTTCATCAAAGTGGCCTGAAAATAATTGGGGCTTAGCTTTTTTTTTTTTTTTTTTTACTTTGCCCACATTAATTTCATAGAATTTTAACTGACCAGATCGATAGGATTGATGCTCCCCACCCCCCCAACTATAATTAAACAAAGTGCTCTCTGTAGGTCTTCTGAGCCTTGTTCAAGATTTAATTAAATCAGATCTTTAATGTAGTCAGTTAACAAATTGGACTATTTGACAGAGCAGTAACTAAGAAACAACAGGCAGACAATTTTTATTATTGGTCCCAGTTCATTATTAAATGAAATAATAATTTATTTCTGAATGTTCTGTAATATAACCACTTATTTCCCCACACTTAAGGAAACAGGCTTAATCCAGGCAAGGTGGAGTTAATTACTCTAGAAAGGAAGCACTTTGTTTTTCTTTCATTCATTTATGTACTTCATAAACATGGCTGGTCAAGTCTGTGTCAGGCAGAGGTCTTAGAGTGATGGACAGAGCACCATGACTGGTTTAAGGGACGCTGGGGAGACAGCCAAGTCAAGAGGTCATAATGGTGTATGCCGAGTGGTAGGGACGGTGAACACAGAGTGCCCTGGGAACTCATAGGAGGGACGTCCATAACAGGGCCCAGCTTCTCCCTACTGCATCCATTCTTTTTACCTAAATTGTTTAGGCTAACTTCTATATAGCCCGAATTATCCAATGCTTTCCCTCATCTGTTTGGCAAAGCAAACTTGATGTGACCATAGGCTTGTGAACCCATGTCTCATGGAATCATGGACTTGGACATAAATAGGCCACACAAGTCCCTTCTGAGACTTTGTAGATACTCTTCAGAAAGTTCTCCATGTTCATAGTATAAGGTGGTGGTAACAGTTCCTTCCTTGTTCCCTGTTCTCTTCCTGGAACTTCTCAGCATGTCTGAGGATGAATTCCATCTGCCTCTCTATGGGGTCTGGCTTCTGCTCTGACTCTGGTTAACATTACAGTGAATTCAAGAGACTACACACTCACTTTTTTTTAAACCAAATAAAAGTTAACCTAGTCTGAAATTTCCTCCTCTTAACTTTCCCCATCTCCCCTCAAAATCTTGTAAAAATAGTTCATGTTTGTTATATTAACTTGGCTCCCCAAAGATTTTAGTTGGGAATGGGAGGCTCCTGTTCCCACTGGTGATAAGGAACCAGTCATTCTTGATATCTAAATGCAAGATTGTATTTATGAAAGATTGCACTGATAGACCTACATAATAAAAATGGAAGCACCTGGTTCACACAGTTTCTTAAAGTATAAGCGATGACTCCAGACTCTGCATATTTAAATATTCGCCATTTGGCTTCACAGCCAGAAAAGGGACAAGCAAAATCCCATAGAGCTTCAGAGCCCCTTTCCTTCCCTGTCACCTCGTCTCCTTTAATAGAAAGTAGCATCAAATTCCTGGCAATGGAACCTCTTTGGGGAACAGGAAGCTGGGAAAGGAGATGACAGGAAAGGTGTAAGTATGAAGGGAGGAATTTCCTTGTCTCTCTCCCCGCACTTTTTTTTTCCATAAGCTTTTCAAAGTACTGATCCTGTCATTAGACTCCTGTGGGTCACTTTTATGTCTGTGATTATGTCAGGAGAGATGATGGGCCGCACTATCTGCCCATAGTCCTCCTCATGCAGCAGAGGTCCTTGTGCTGAGGGGTGCTCAGCGATGCTCTGCTCAGCCAGGTGTGCGGCACATGGTCAAGCACTTGTCCCAGGAACTCAGCAGCTAAGGCTGTTTACAGGGCATCCTCCTATAGTGTTCCTCCAGAGATCCCAAGCACTGGAGCCAATGGCTGAAACTTAACTAGATCTAAACACCAACTCTAATCCACCTTCAGTATCTCCAAGGACACATGTTGATTAGAGACCATATCAGAGGAGATGAAAAAGAGAATCTGAACTAAAGCAAAGGGGCTACTTAATGTGATTATCTAGGACTCTATTATGTGCTTTTTCTATAACATTTACATCCACCCTCACTAGGAGTGTTACAGTGCCAAATCGATGTGCCCAGAGTGGATGCTGTCTATACTGGAAGCAGCCATTTGCTCTGTCCACATTGTTTCCTGTTATATGCTAACTCAGTATGTCTAAGATATTTTTAACTAAAAATCAGTCACAGTGAAGATATTTCCAGCAGTGAACTGTTGTGACCTTAGGTAGGTTAAATACAGACTCATCTGCTTTACCTTGGAAACTCTTCCAGCCTCCTGAAAACTCTTCCCATTTCACTTCCCTCCCTCATACTCTTCCCACCACCGTTGTATATGAAGAAAGACAGAA